CGGATGTTGTTGCAACGAGGCTTTATGTTCAATGTGTGTGTTGTGCTGTCTTTCCTGAATCTGATACGGCACCGGCTGGTATGCCTTCCGACCTTCCCTTCCCAAATGCATGTCAGGTGACGGATCATTTCTACAACTAGTCTATAACCCTAGACCCTAAGCCCTAACACTGAAACTTAGCTACAACCCGACCTCCTAAACCCTCAACCCTGGAAAAAAGAAGTCTCACAGAGTCTGGACCGGCCGACAACAGGCCCATCTCCTAACTGCGGGAAGACAAGAACAAGCGCTTCGAAAAAAAGAACAACGACCAACCATGATGGGTCTGTTTTGGGCTTCCCTGAAATAGTCATCCAATTTGCATTTGGCCCCAATTTGATAACTGTCCATGATGCAAGCCGTCTTAATTTCAAAATGGCTGTCTGGGGCGTGTGTAAGCTGCTGGTGTTGCTTTCTGCTGCTGAATTATTTATGCTTGAGATATCGATCTCTTTTTCTTCATAGCAGTCTTGATATGACCCCATAACAATCCCTCTTGCACAACCTGGCATTCGTGAGTTGGGACAATTCTTCACAACCCCCATAGGAATCCCTATAGTCCATTGCGCCATTCCCAATGAAGCATGGGTAAGGCTCGGAGGCGCAAGCTTGCAAGCCCAAGGTGTCTGGTGTCACATGGTTTTCAACAATTGTCAACCCCAAGCCCTAAACTCTAAACTCTAAACCCTCAACCCTCATCCCTAAACCCCTAAACCCTAAAGCCTCCACCCTAGACCCTGAACTCTAAAACCTCAACCCGAAACTCTAAACTCTAAACCCTAAACTCTAAACTCTCAACCCGAAACCCTAAACTCTAAACCCTCAACCCTAAGCCCTAAACCCACACTCTATCACCTGTGCAATCCCTAGAGCCCACCATGAGTGATTTTAGAATATGGAGAGATCCCATGACAGCCCTGCACGCCGAACCCTACCTTCCCCCAACTAACGTGAAACCCCAGGAGATCAGAGGGCGGTACCTTTAAAGGGGTTATATAGGGGTTACCCAAGGATAATGAAAAAGAAAATTGAAACTACTATTTGGGGTTTAGGGTTTAGGAAGGTGCGGTATAGGTATTAAGCCCCAAGTAAATCGAGTATATACTAGGGATCCTTTAACCCACCTACCTTCATGCCACCCGGTATGTGTTTGCATGTTACTGTGGGGAAGACCTTCCTAGAACCCTCAACCTAAAAGACCCTGTATACATCTAACCCTAAACCCGTGAGCCTAAATCCTAACATCAAACCCCAAACTTAGACCCTAAACCTTCGACCCTAAAGCCTAAATCCTAAACCACAAAAGCTTAAACCCTAAAACCTTAGATATCCCCAACATACCCATTTCGCGCAGGCTTTTGCAGATCAGGTTGCCATGTTGCTCAGCCGAGGTCTCTTGGCTTCTTTGGCCTTCAGAAATGGAAAGGTCCACGCGATGTTTGGGTGGTTTAGGGCTTAGGGGTTAGGTTTTAGGGTTTAGGGTGTGGAGTTTCGGTTTTGGGGTTTGGGGTTTAGGGTTTAGGGCTTAGGGATTAGGGTTTAGGGCTGAGGGTTCAGGGTTAATGCAGGAATATAACAATTCAGTACTAGAGTAATGTAGCATAGGAATACAGTATTAAGGCGAGATACTATACTCACAATAGTAACGGAACAGGGTACTTTCATCAATCACTCAAAGAATGATAGATCAACTTGGTAATAGGGTGCCATCCTATTGTAGAAATACGTTGGGAGTTGTGAGTACAGGATTTGGGGAGCAGATGGCCGGCACAAAGCCCAGCCTCTGCAACCTCAAACCGGGCCTAAAGAAGGTTTAGCGTTTAGGATTCATGCAACTCAAGCGAGATGATGCAAACAGTCATACAGTCCTGAAAAGGCAGCACGCAAATCAAAAAGCAGTCCATTCAGGTAGCTATCCGCTGTGGCGAAGCCTATGTCCTAAACTCATGACAACATGTGAACCATAGCCTAAACTCCTAGCATACCCCCTAGTAACCCCTATAGTAGTCCCCTATATGATCCCCCATATATCCCCCTTTCAAGGAGTTTAGATTATGGCTCATGTTGCAACCAGGATGGGCTTTCCCAAATCTTCGGTAAAGACTTGCAGTGAGGGCATGAGAGGTGTTCTTACTGGTTGTTAGTAGGGAATAAGGGACTATATTATGTAAGTATTATATTCCCGTCTTCCCTACTAACATACTGTAAGTATGTCACAGACACCAGAGGCTGAAGCTTCAGGATGTTGGGCTCCAGGCTTCTGTGGATGTTGAATTCGGGACGTTTCAGTCTACCCAACAACGCAGTGATTATGTTGGGGCAAAATTGTGGTAATATTGGGGCAATATTGAGGTAGTATTAGGGCAATATTAGGGTAATGTTAGGGTCATATTGGGGTGGCTCTGCGAAGGCGGTCAGGACAAATGGTTGATGCAGCGCAACATTGGCTGATTTCAACCCCACAGACGGCATCAACAAAGCCATATGTCCCTTGCAAGCTTACGTGGCTTAGTTTGGAGGTAGTTGAAACATGAAACCTGAATTGTGTAGAGGCGAACCCAGTTTTGCAACACTGTGCGACTAGTTGCGCGGCGCATATCTGTACTTTGGCCTTCACACTGCGGGGAACAGTAATCTAATATAGTTTCGCGAAATAGGGGGCTATTTTGGGACGCTGGAGGTATGTGTCATCATGAAAGGACTTCTTGGTAAGGACGAACACGGAACATGTAGGGAATGTTGTTGACAAACACCCACATGGTTCAGCAGGGTTCTTGCAAAAGTGGTTGGCTTGCATGAAGTGGGCCGTGGGCTCGATACCTGCAGATCTCAGCACAGCTTATAGAAGTGCTTGGTAGCAGGGTTTGAGATGCAGTGTCTAGAAGGTTGGTTTAGGGTTCAGGGCTTAGGGTTTAGGGTTTAGGGTTTAGAGTTGACTGGAAAACAAAGTCAGTAATGAGTCCTCTCATGGGTACTTCTCAACATAACCTACATGCTAAAGCCACCTCCAGCATAAGCAGCAGCACAGATTTCAGTAAAACTCCGGCTTCTTGACTATGGAAGAAATCTGCAAAAGCTCTAGTCTAGATGGATCTAATCATGAACTAGATTGTGTACGGAACTTCACCAGTCTGGACGCGTCTATGCATACCACAGAAAAGCTACAGTAACTGAACCCTGCCCCAGATCCTAAAAAGTAAGCCTTCAACCCCAAATCCTGCACCCTCCATCCTAAACCCTAGTTCTACATTGCCCGATCCAAAACTCCCCGTGCCTCCTCGGAAGCATCGCTCCTGCCCAACAAGGAGCTTCAGAGAGCAGACTCCAAAACTCTAAAAACGAAATAGGGTTATATGAGGGCTATATTGGGGTTATATTGGGATTTTATGAGGGTTATATTAGGATTATATTGGGGGTATATTGGGGTTCTATTGGTGTAATATTAGGGGTATATTGGGGTTATATTAGGATTATATGTGGTAGAACGGCATCGTTCCGCATAGGGTCCTTTCTCTAAATGCTGGTGCATTTTGGCCACGCCCAAATATGTCCGTTGTAAAACGGCCTTTGCACAAACCTGCACGTGGGGCTCGCACATTCGAATGTGAAGGAGCCCGTCCTTGATCCAGAGCTTTTCGATGAATCCACTGCTTTCCCGTCCTCTGCCAAATTCAGCCAGACCGCTACTGGTGCTTAAGGGCGAGCAGGGGAGTGAATATAGGTACCAGCATATGGGAATATGTAAGGGTTATAGGATGATTATAGGGATCCACTCCCAAACCTTAAGCACCGGTAAGGACAGTTGGCAGCAGCAGCCAAGGGCGCGACATGGTCACTTGAGGGCCACGTTCACGGAGCAAACAACTAGAATATGTTGATTTCGTATTATGGCAGATAGGGACATTGACGGGAGGAGTATTCTCAATATGGTAGACACGTTGATACCTCCTAAACCCCAAATCCGTAAATCCGTAAACCCTAAACTCTGAACCCTCATCCCTAAACCCTAAACTCTAAATCCCTGAACCCTAAACCCTAACAACCCCGAAAGCCCCCAGCTTGGAGAAGAGAGACCTCGGCTGCTTCCAAGCGGAGGCAGCAGCGACGTGAGCTGCGGAGAACAGTGCGGAAGGCGGCACGCAAGCGGACTTCAGGCAAAACGCTTTAGGGTTTAGGGGTTAGGGTTTTTTTGCAGGGATTAGGGTTTAGGGATCAGGGTTTAGGGTTTAAGATTTAGGGGTTAGGATTGAGGATTAGGGATTGGCGGTCGAGGGCTTGGGACTAAGGATTGAGGGTGGAGGGTTTAGGACTCAGGGAGGTAAATGGCTGGAACCGAAGGAAGGTTGGGTAACTGTTCGCAAGTTTGAGATCATTAGGATTAAGGGCGTATGTTTCCAGAGCTGGGGTGAAGGTTACGGCTACTCTCTGATGCTTGTTGTTGAGGCAGGCCCTGCTTGCGCGGACACAGCTGCAACCACATTCATGAGGTTGAAAAAGCTTCGCACTTCCAGCTACCACTAAAATGTAAACAGCTGATAGACTGCTACTCAGGCTTAATTTCAACAACCGTTTCATGGCTCAGTTTTCTCAGCCTATGCTCAGCCGCATCGTTACACTGCTACCGTTGCCCGAAGTACACCTTTCCTCGCAAGATGATCGACCTCCTGAAGTACATTCTTGCTGCATATGAACCCAGACTCTCATCAATGGAACGTCAGGAGCACAATCATGCTCCCAAAAAGAAGAAACGACAGATTCGTGTCTCCGGCTCTGTTCCAAGACTTACGAACTTGAGAGTGTGGAGTTTTGACGATCGATGAGATGGACTGTTTCGGGCAAATTCAGATGGGCTTGCGGTAGGTTCCGTAGCCCTGGACATGAAAGCTCTGCTTGGGACCTTTCCACAATAAGGTCCCCCAGCTTCTGTGTTGGATATTTGCGGAAAATTTGGACGTGGAAAAGCGCTTTGGGTTCAAGGCCTCGGGAGCATGCTTCCTATCCTCCCTTCCAGCAACACCTTCCACATGTCAAGCTTTACTTACTCAGCCACCAGCGAACCAAAATCACAGGAGCTAGGGGGAATGACATGCCCACACCTTCCGAGCTCAATCAAAAGAGTGGGAAACCCTGAACCCATAACGCCTAAACCTGAAACCCCTAACCCAACTGTGCCTGAAGCTGCCAGAGTGAGAAAGAACGGCTCATGAGCGCGAGGGTTTGCCTTTCAATTTAGATTCAGCGGATGACTAGACGCAGATTGCGAGGAGGACGACACCGCAGCTATGTCTACCATGGTTCAACTTGTGAGAGGCCATAAATTCGACTGAGTCAAATGCTCCATGAAGAAGGCTGCCATTCTAACAGTGGCTGGGAAACAGCTTGACCGGCTTGAAAAACAAAGGGTTACGAACATGAAGGTCTGAATCCCTTTGCAGGGATCTATCTCTCATCTTACCCTGTGCTTGCACATATCGAGGCAAAGGCACCCCTCTCCAAACACTCTTCCACCCCCATGTCTACTCCGCAGGACTACATGCACCCACCCAAACGGAAACACTTGCTGCCCCCACTGCCTCACCCCGGCCGCTTAAGCATCTTAGCGTAGAATACCCTAAGTCACTCCCCCGATTTCAGTGCGGTTGTTTTGAAGGCCCAAGAAGGTGCAATTGGGAATGCACTTCCTTAAAGGAGAACTTAACCAAAAGGGAACCTACCTAATGGCAGTTTTGGGGGGCGGGTAGTTTGAACAACTACCGAGTGAGAAGATCTCGTTTTGTTCGTTCACACTTCCAGGTGGGGAACATCGGGATCCAAACAGAGGGAGCCCCACTTTCCCCTTCTGCCACTGGAGGCTTGACTCTATACCCCAAACCTTTAAACCTTATACCCTAAACTCTAAACCCCTAACCCTAAATCCTAAACCCTAAATCCTAAACCCTAAACCCTAAACCCTAAATCCTAACCCCAGAACCGCTTCAAATTGGGGTTTAGGGTTTAGGGCTTGAGACCATGCCTCCTATATTCATATTATACCACTATTACAGGGTGGGGGGTCCTCCTAAGCTATATACTCCCGTAAACACCACACGTAGCCCATGGAATTCCCTGCTTCAAGCCACCTTCAACAGACAGGGTCGACATCATTTGCAGGACAGCCCTTTGTCTACCTATGACAGCCCAGTATACCTCTTGGCAATGTAGTACCGTAGTGTGCTATGCAAGTATACCCAGAGTCATATCAGCCGCCTAGACCATAGACCCCAAAACCCTAAACCTCCACAACCTCCTCAAAAACCTTGAACCCCAAACCCAACCCTCAAAAACCCAAAGCCCCCTTGCAACAGCCAAACCCCCTAAGCCCTGAACCCCGAAACCCTAAACCCCCAAACCCTAAAGCCCTAAACTCGTAAAACCTAAACCCCTAAACCCCTGAACCTCTAAACCTCTAGACACCTAGACACCTAGACACCTAACTAAACCCTTAAACCCCCAAATCCCCAAACCCCTAAAACCTAAACCCCGAAACCCCTAAACCCCTGAACCCCTAAACCCCTGAACCCCTAAACCCTAGACACACCTAAACCCCTAAACCCCTAAACCCCTAAACCCCTAAAGCCCTAAACCCCTAAACCCCTAAACCCCTAACCCTCCCTCAGGGGCGTTCAGCGCCGCCGCAGCGGGCCCTGCCGTAGCAAGCTGGGCGGCCCAGGGGCCGAAGGGCTCAGTGCGTAGGCCCTGCTTGAAGGGTCAGGGGGACTGAGGAGGGAATGGATGGGTTTAGGGTTTAGGGTTTAGGGCTTAGGGCTTAGGGCTGAGGGTTCAGGGTTCAGGGTTTAGGGTTGGAAGGGTTTAGGGTTAAAGGTTGGAAGGGTTTAGGGTTGCAAGGGTTTAGAGTTCAGGGTTGAGGGTCAAGGGGTATGGAAAAGAACATGGAAACTAACATATCATCATGTATGGTTTAGGGCTCAGGGTTGAGGGATTCAAGAACCATGAGCTTGGGGATCATGAGTTGGGACCCAAGGATTTTGGATTTGCGGGTTGGAGTTAAGGGGTTCGGGGTTTTGGGTTTTGGGATTTGAGGTTTGGGGCTGTGGGGTTAAACGCTTTGCTTTGGGGTTTGGGGCCTTTGGGTTTAAGGCTTCCGGTTTAGAGACCACATGAGTTACACCCACCTCCCAATTAGCAGGGCCAGCATGAGGATCCCTATTTGGCTCCTGTAGAAACTGTCGGCGTGGATTCAGTCTGGGAGGTTTAGCAGGGGAATGTCCGGGCCTTACAAAGCGCTTACATGGAAAACTGCATAGGAGCTTTTAGCTTTACAAGGGCTCCATGAAGCTTTATAGGCAAACAAAGCGATGACCGAGTTTTGAAAAAAACAAAGATGTTCGCTGATGTTGCTGCAGTGTTTGGACTTTGTAGAGGCTACTCTAAGAATGGCAAAGACTTTGCGCACGGTTTTAGGGATGATTCGAAAGTCTATCATCATCATTGATTTGGCATTACTGGAATGGTGCTGTCAAAGCCTGGCACAGAAGACTCAATGTCAAGTGCTTTCTGGTATGACACATGAATATCAGGACTGAAAGAGGGGAACAGTACAAGGCTTTGGACTGCATTTTAAGCTAACGCTCTTGGCGTCAGAGCTTGTAAAAATACTTCCGATGCTTAGGATACTCCGGAATGAATCCCTACATAATTCTCCTACAGCCCCTACGAAAACCCACGTAATCACCCGCCTCTAGTGTTCTAATCTCCAGAAACCCCAAACCCTGTTCACAATCCAGTCTGCAACTGCGCCTCCAAAGCTTTGACCTGCAGTGCTTGCTGCTTCACGGCATTTTAAGGATCCGTGTAAATTGATGCGAACCTCATTTACAAGCCGCCAAAACAACAAGATTGTTTCCTACAAAGGGTTCTGAGACACCCATTATACTATAGTATACTATAGTATATTGTAGTGTGCTATGATATATCACATGCCGCAGTAGTATACTATAGTATATTAAAGTATACTATGGTAGTATTCTAGTATATAACTCCAGCCATCTGAGGCCCAGGCTTCCTTGGCGCGGTAGGCACGCAGCGCCTCGCCCCGGCAGGCGTTGGGCACCCCAAGCACCAACAGCTCTGGGGCTAGCTCAGCCTGGGTTGCTCTTAAATTAAGTTACCATAATGGGTATATATAGGGTATTTTGGGTATATAGGGCATTTAGGGTATTTAGGGTTATATATATATATATATGTATATAGAAGGCATTTTGGGCATATAGGGCATTTAGGGCATTTAGGGCATTTAGGGTATTTAGGGTATCTAGGGTTTAGGAGTTAGGGTTCAGGGTTTAGAGCTACCATAATGGGTATATAGGTGCTATATAAGGGTTCGTTATGCATAGTAGATAATAGGGTTTCCCTAATATAGTAACTTAAATTAAGTTCCCTAACAACAACCCAGCAGCAGAGGCGAAGGCCACGTTGAAGAGGTGTCGGGCCCGCGACGTGTGGAAGTCGCTGGTGATGACGACCATGCTGGAGACTTCATGCTTGCGCACAAACTCCACAGCCATGAGGGCCTCATCTACGGTGTGGAGCGCTTCCAGCCCTGGGTCGGAGATGTTCTCCTCTGGCAGTCCACACTCGAGCAAGGCTTTGCGCACATATTTCCAGTGTGAGGTGTCGGTGCGGTTGAAGAAGCGATCCGGATCCTTTCCACCAGAAGGAAGAACCAATACACGGTGGCCAGCGGCTGACAAAGCCCTCCAAAGGGATGTGGTTTTCACGGCGCGCTGCCGTACCTGCGCAAGAAGGCACCCACCAAAAAGAAGCTTATTGAACACACATGGCTGCACATGCCCTTTGGACTGCCTCGCCATCCACCTTGCCATGGTCATCATTGGTAGAGCCCAGCTGCAGCAGCAAGATGCAACCTTCAGCGCGCAAACGGAGCTCATGTGAGGGAACTGCTCTTGTGAAGCAGTGAAGCAAGACACCTATCGAAGTTGCAGCACCCCTTTGACAACCCGGAGCACTGCTCAACCTCTGAGCAACACCACAACCCTACCAAACTCTGTTCGAATTGCGCGAGAACCCAAAATCACTCCAGATACCGGGCCTCGGCTGACTGCCGAACAGTCCGAAGCCTGCAGTGATTCTGGAGTCGTTCTGTCAGCCAGGGCCAGGTCTGTACTTTGAGGGCATCTATGGGGTGTCCAAGCACCTTTTTTGTGATCTGAGCTGAAACATCGTACAGAAGAACCCGCATAGCCAGTAAGAGATCTTCAGTATGGCTCACTCCTGAAACCATCAACTGCAGTCGCATCAAAAATCTTACTTCACAAGCTTCTGACCTCATCTGTCACGCTTGATGCCCCAAAGCTCAAAGCTCAATATGGACTCCTAACATGTACCTAGCAAGCCCACTAGCGCTGTGTCCAACTCCCTCTATCCTATCGCGTCGTCCATAAACCCCAAAACAGATCCTACAAGTCCCTTTCTTCAACATTGATCCAAATTCACAAGAGACTCGTTTAGAGCAAACGCATCATGGGCTGCGAGCTTGAAGCATGCCCAAACCCTAAACCCTAAAACCCCAAAACCGCGTACCCTGAACCCTAAACCCTAAACCCCTAAACCCTGAACCCTAAACCCTGAACCCTAAACCCTAAACCCTAAACCCCAAACCCTGATGCCCAGCTCCTCGCTGGGGGCGCTTCTTTTTACAACCTGAGCTCCACTTTGGCTCTGGAGTGGTTTATAGTCCCCCTTAAGTAGATAGAATATTGGGGTTTAGGGTTTAGGGGTTTAGGGTTTAAGGTTCAGGGTTCCGAGGGAGGATACAATCTTACACGTGTTGGGTACCATAGTATTCTCAGACATCAGTTCATCCGCGAAGCGAACTACCG